AAGCATATGTTCACACAAAAACTTGTACATGCATATTCATAGTGTTATTACTCATAATAGCCAAAAAGTAGAAACAATCCAAATGTTCATCAACTGATGAAAAAATAAACAAAATACATTAGCCATACAGTGGGATATTAGCCATAAAAAAGGAATGAGGCACTGATATGTGGTATAATATGGCTGAATCTTAAATTTAAAAATATTATGCTCAGTGAAAGCAGACAGACATAAAGGGCCACATATTGTAGGATTCCATTTACGTAAAGTGTCCAGAACAGACGATACATAGAGTCAGAAAGTCAATTACTGTTGCCAGGGACTAGGGGAAGGAGGAGAATGAGGAGTTATAGCCAATGTATATGGGGTTTCTTTTCAGGGTAATGAAAAAGTTCTGGAATAGTGATGAAGGCCGTACAACATTGTAAATATACTTAAAACCACTGAATTTCATACTTTAAAATGATGAAAATAGTAAATTTTGTTATGTAAATTGTATTGTGAGTAAAAGAAAACTGATCCAAAAATACAAAGTAAGCCAGAGAGTAGAATGCGTCCTAAAAGGCTGCAGAAGAACAAAGAGGAGAGGTTTTCAGAAGGTTTGAAAAACTTAATTCTAGGCTGGGTACAGCGGCTTACGCCTGTAATCCCAGCACTTTGGGAGGCCGAGGAAGGTGGATCACAAGGTCAAGAGATTGAGATCATCCTGGCCAATATGGTGAAACCCCGTCTCTACTAAAAATACAAAAATTAGCTGGGCATGGTGGCATGCACCTGTAGTCCCAGCTACTCAGGAGGCTGAGGCAAGAAAATCACTTGAAACCGGGAGGCGGAGGTTGCAGTGAGCCAAGATCATGCCACTGCACTCCAGCCTGGTGACAGAGTGAGACTCTGTCTCAAAATAAACAAACAAACAAACAAATAAACTTAATTCTAGATGCTTTGGAGTTCTTTCAAAAATAAGTGGTTAAAAAATAAAAATTTTAAAACTAAATAGCTAAAGAGATGTTTTCCAGTCTTATATCTATGAGTTGTAGGAAATTAGTAGATGGTTTCTCTACATGTACTATATTGGAATTTGGAAAATGTTTAAGGGAACATTTCAATGTACTGAAACAGTATATTTATATGTAAGCACACTACGTAAAAAAAATTGTGATGAGATTTAAAACAAATTAGAAAACTAAGTTATAGTAGCCCATATCTATGATTTAAGATCCATAAAAATGTGACACAATGGAATTCACCGTTTTCTGGAAAGTATGGATCATATTTTACAGGTCCTAAAAAACGCTGTTTTATTACTAATGCTCAGCTCTGTTGTTAATATCACTACTAACATTAAAACTATGCTTTTAAATATAGATGCAGTATTCATATTTGTCTCAGATGCCAGCCTGGCCAAGCTCTATATAGGCACCTAGGTTATACCACACATACAAAAATAATATGCCATACATCTAATTCATAAGCAAACCATCTAATGACTACTTTTTATTTACTGAACATTCACAAGCTACGTAACTAAAATAATGAGGTGAGGGTTTGGTCTTTTTCTTTCCCTGGAAATGGAAGGTATGATCTCAGTGTAGTGCATTTGTTATAATAGAAAGATGCAACACAGTCAAAGACAAAGTCATTCTTAACTTTTTGCCCATTCTAAGTTCCCAGGACAAGCCAAAAGTCAAGAGTTCTAGCCTTCTAATTCAGCAATTACCATAGCAACAGCAGTCTTATTCAAACAAAGGACAGTTCAGGCCTCTCAGCTTTTTCTATACCTAAGACATGCATACACTTATAAATGAATAAGTCAGGCACTTATATGGTTCCATATACAATGGAAGTAATTTAAAGCTTCCAGAATATGCGAACTCCTGCTGTGCTGAAATTAAGTTGGAATACGGGAGATAGGAACAATTTGTGTCTACACAGCAAGCTTTATACAATAGATTACAGTTTATGAGACAGGGAAAAGGAAATTTTAATTAAAGAATTTTAGTATAAACATTTCCTGGTATCTCTTCGTTTATAAACTTGCATCCATCTAATAACAAGAGCCTCTTCTACAAAGTTCTAAGAAATAAAGTACCAAATGCCAGGCATAGTGGTTCATGCCTGTAATCCCACCACTTTGGGAGGTCACGGCAGGCAGATCCCTTGACCCCAGCAGTTTGAGACCAGCCTGGGCAACACAGCAAAACTCCATCTCTACAAAATATACAAAACTTAGCTGGGCATGGTGGCATGTAACTGTAGTCCTAGCTACTTGGGAGACTAAGGCAGGAGGATTGCTTGAGCCTGGGAGGTCAAGAGTTCAGTGAGCTATGATTATGCCACTGCACACCAGCCTGGGCAATACAGTGAGACCATCTCAAAAAAGAGAAAGAAAGAAAGAACCAGAAAGGCAAGAATATTTTGTCAATAAACAAAATCCAGGAGTCATACCATGGATTTTCATTTTAAAACTCTCAACATTTAATTTGAAACAAAGAGTCGACCATCCACAGGTAGACAAAGACAACAACAAACCCTGGGAATTTTGTAACCTAACTTTTACATTGTTCAAACCTTAGCTTCAGATGAAAAGTCACTAAGGGAAAAGTATTCCTTCATTTTAAGTATCCTTATATAAGGCTGACAGAAAATAATGGTCAAAGTTTTTATTAAGGCCACTGCTTATATAAACAAGATACAAGTAGGTATTTTGAATTCACAAATACCTAGGTATTAACCCTCTTGGGGGTATTCATTTCAACTCTAATAAAACTTTAAGGAGACAAATTAATGGGTAGCAATAGTTTAAGATAGACAAAACTAATAAGTATTGATAACAAGTACTGATCACCCTGTGTGTGTTCTCTCTGTTAAGCTGTGGCAGGTGATCTCAGGCGGTAAGAACTGAGAAAGTGAAAATGGGGTTTACAATTACAGTAACATCCCCAGTGTCTTTTTTGTTTGTTTGTTTGTTTGTTTTGAGACAGTCTCACTCTGTCACCCAGGCTGGAGTTCAGTGGCACAATCTCATCTGACTGCAACCTCCACTCCCAGGTTCAAGCAATTCTCATGTGTTAGCCACCGAGTAACTGGGATTATAATGAACAACCATGCCTAGCTAATTTTTTTTTGTATTTTTAGTAGAGACAGGGTTTCAGCAGGTTGACCAGGCTGGTCTCGAACTCCTAGGCTCAAGTGATCCACCCTTCTCAGCCTCCCAAAAGTGCTGAAACTACAGGCATGAGCCACTGTGCCCAGCCCGACATCTCTAATGCTTAGCCCCTTAGTAGAACCTGGAGTAGGCTGGGCATGGTGGCTCACACTTGTAATTCCAGCACTTTGGGAAGTCAAGGCAGGTGGATCACTTGATTTCAGGAGTTCAAAACCAGCCTGGCCAAGATGGTAAAACCTTATCTCTACTAAAAATACAAAAAAATTGGCCAGGTGTGGTGGCACACGCCTGTAATCCCAGCTACTCCGGAGGCTGACGTGGGAAGATTGATTGAGCCCGGGAGGTTGAGGCTGCTGTGAGCTGTGATTGTGCCATTGTACTCCAGCCTGGGTGACACAGGAACACTCTGCCTCAAAAAAAAAAAAAAAAAAGAAATCAAATAAAAGTAAAGAAAATGCCAAATAAAAGATACAAACTTACAGATTTTTGGGTATACCTGTACATTCATTATAAAATTCTAATTAGGAAGCCCCAACTGCTTTGCTTTTTTTTTTTTTTTTTTGAGATGGAGTCTTTCTCTGTCACCCAGGCTGGAGTGCAGTGGCACGATCTCGGCTCACTGCAAGCTCTGCCTCCCAGGTTCACACTGTTCTCCTGCCTCAGCCTCCTGAGTAGCTGGGACTACAGGCTACCAATTTTTTTTTTTTTTTGTATTTTTGTATTTTTTATTATTTGTATTATTTGTATTTAATTTTTGTATTTTTTTGTAAAGGTGGGGTTTTGCCACGTTGCCCAGGCTGGTCTTGAACTCCTAGGGTCAAGTGATCCACCCGCCTTGGCCTCCTAAAGTGCCGGGATTACAGGCATGAGCTACTGTACCCACTCGGCATTTTCAGTAAAATAATATTATAAAACCAGATTCTAATTGTTCTTTCCTGCCCATCCTAGTCAATTTTTATCCAAATCCAAAATTTTTAGCTATTATATCTTTTAAAACTTAGATATTCTAAACTAAAATAGCTCGAGAAACATATACTATAAATAGACATCCTTTGTGAAAATTTTTTTCTTAAAATTATTCCTAGCCTCACCTAAACCTTATTCAGTCACATTTCCACTTAAAATGTTTTTTGCTCTTCTTACAGTTACTGTAAATGTGCTCCTCCCTCCCTTTCAAAATGTGAAATCCTGTCAGAAAAGGCAGATTTTATAAAATCAAACACCTACAGTAATATTGCAACATGCTAGAATATAACTGTGAGACAAAATTAATTCAGTAAAATGGTATCTCGTTACTGCAGTCTGCAACTCTCTTGTCTCTTTTCTAATGATTTTTAAAGTCAGAACAGTCCATATGCTTCTTATAATATCAGTGTTTTCACTTGAATTTTCTCCTTTAGTCTTAAGATTGATTCTATTCTGAAAGTAATAAAAATAAATAAATGGAAAAAATACCAAAGCTTGATTTTTCAGATTACTACTTGAAGGGTAGTTTGGAAAAATTCTGTTTTCACTTTCAGCCTTCTTTGCCTCAAAACAAACACGGCTTTTTGTCATAAACATATGCTATGACAGAATGTTTAAATGAACCCTTTGATTTGCAACCACCTTATCTTCAAATGACACTATATTCGTGAGGATTTTTTTCTTTAGTCTGACAATACAGCAAGACCCAGTTAAAACAGTAGAATTTCCTAAAACAAGTTGTAAAACCTAAGTTCTGATAAAGATTGTCTGTAAACTCAATAGAATAAATAATGAGATTCTTATTAGATTGTTTTTCTCATCCAAGAGAAATCTAGTTTTTACAAATCTTAACTAGAATAATGGTTACCTTATGGAGATACTGTATTCAGGACAGAAGATGCTTGTATATTGGACCCATGCACCAACCTCCTTTTCAGTTTCCCTTTCTTTGACTTCTGTTACTGAAAACAGATTAAATGATTCAAATCTTCTTACAGATACATGTCGCAGGCAATCATCCAGGTGTTTTTGCTTCAGAACCTTTGAAATAAAACCAAATATTGCAGTCATGTTATATAAACACATAGTAAGTTAAGTGTTCAAAATGTTCAAAATTTAAGTGGTAAGGGGACTTTCCCTTCCAATAATGACAGATTAGATAATTCACATATATCTCCTACTGAAGATAACTATAAAAGATGAACAAAATATTTTAAAACATTACTTGAAGACATCACAGAGCAAAGACAGTGAAGATTTACAAATCTGATATATATATATATATATATATATATTTTTTTTTTTTTTTTTTGAGACAGGATCCTACTTTGTCACCCAGCCTCACTGTCACCCAGCCTGTCACCCAGCTAGGTTCAGGCGATCCTCCTACCTCAGGCTCCCTAGCAGCTGGAACTACAAGTATGCACCACCACGACTGGCTAATTTTTTAAATTTTTTGTAGAGATGGGGTCTCCCTATATTACCCAGGCTGAATTCAAACTCCTGGGCTCAAGTGATCTCCAACCCTGGCCTCTCAAAGTGCTGGGATTACAGGTGTGAGCCACAGCACCTCGCCCGCAGTCTGATATCTTTAAAAGGAGAAAACCTACAAAGGTTACTCTGACTTTTGCAACCACTTTTCTCCTGGGGATATTTGTCAATTCCAAAAGAAAGAATCGAGAAGATTAGTTGCATCTTTAATAGCCTATGGAGCTAGGAGAGAAAAATTGAATTTCAAAACTTACCTAGGAATGGGGAGATATATTGAGTATGCAAGGTATGTATGTTTTAGCATAATGAATAATTTTGCTGGTGTTGCTGAAAGACAGATTTTAAAGTGTGGGAGATATAACCCAATAATGACGTTTGGATTTTATTTGGATCCTATTCTAAAATAATCAAATTATAAAGAAAAATTATGACAAAATGAGAAAAATTTGAAAACTGATCAGATCTTTCATGACTTCAATTAATTATTTTGGGTTGATGTGGTATTGTGATTTTTTAATGTCATTTTTATAAGTTCATAATAAAACATCTGAAGAAAAAAATGACATGTGAGATTTGCTTCAAAATAATGGTGTGGGGGGCAATGGGAGAAGTGAGATTAAATACCGTTGTTCATGGGTTAAAATTGCTGAAGCTTATCAGTACCTGAATTATTATTATATTCTTCTCTCTAGTTTTATACATGTTTGACATTTCCCATGATAGAAAAATCTTAGATATAAAATAACTTCTGACTCATAAGCAAACAAAAATAAATAAAAAGATATTTAAAAAGCCAAATATATTTGGAAACTAAGCAATGTACTTATAAATAACCTATGAACCAGAAAAATTATAGGCCAGGTGCAGTGGCTCATGCCTGTAATCCCAACACTTTGGAAGACTGAGGCAGGAGGACTGCTTGAGGCCAGGAGTTCCAGACCAGCCTGAGCAACATGACAACACCCCATATCTACAAAAAATAAAAATAGGCTGGGCACAGTGGCTCATGCCTGTAATCCCAGCACTTTGGGGAGGCCGAGGCGGGTAGATCACCAGAGGTCAGAAGTTTGAGACCAGCCTGGCCAACATGGTGAAACCTTATCCTTACTAAAAATACAAAAATTAGCCAGGCGTGGTGGCGCGGGCCTGTAATCCCAGCTAACAGGGAGGCTGGGGCAGGAGAATCGCTTGAACCCAGGAGGCAGAGGTTGCAGTAAGCCAAGATTGCGCCATTGCACTCCAGCCTGGGTGACAACAGCGAGACTCTGTCTCAAAAAAATTTAAAAATAAAAATAATTATGCAGGATGTGGTGGTGTGTGCCTGTAGTCCTAACTACTCAGGAGGCTGAGGCAAGAGGATTGCTTGAGCTTAGGAGTCTGAAGCTGCAGTGAGCAATGATCAAGCCATTGCACTCCAAACTGGGTGACAGAGTGAGGCTCTATCTCTGAAAAAAAACAAGGAAAATTATAAAGTAATTTTGAATTGAATAATAGAAATACATTTCAAAACATATAACATGCAGCTAAATCCAGGCTTATAGAAAAAAATATGGAAAGGTCAAAAGTTAATAAGCATTCATTGCAAAAATTTGAAAAATAAGCAAATTAGATCCCTGAAAGAGTACAAGTTAATGAAATAGAAAACAAACATAGGAGAGAGAATCAATAACACCAAAGGTTGTTTCTTTGAAAAGATTGATAAAATTGATAAATCCTTAATAAGACTAATAAAAAAAAAAGGAAGAAGTATCAATGTGATATAGGGAGATTACTATAATATAAATCCTGTAGACATTAAAAAACAATAATGAAGGGATATTTATGAAAACTAACTTTGAAAATTTAGATGAAATGGACAAATTTCTAGAAAAACACAACTAATAAAACTGACACAAGAAGAAATGGAAAATCCCAATAGTTTAAACTATTTCAAAAACTGAATTCATACATATAAAACTTACCACAAAGAATAATCCAGGCCCAGATTGCTCACAAGAAAATTATATGAAATGTCTGAGTAAGAATTAATGCAAGTCTTACCACATTCTTCATTAAATACTCAAACAACACTATGGGATAGATACCCATTACGTGAGAGAAAAAACTAGAACACAGGGCAGTTACGTAATTTGCCCAACATCGGAGAGTTCACAAGAGGCAAACCTAAAGTTAAAATACAAGCTGCCTGACTACAGACCCTATACTCTTAATACCACTACTTGTACAGAATATGATAAACTGGCATCACCTATCCATTCCAGCTTCCAAGATACCTTTCTATTTTATAGAGCTGGAAAGTTAGAAACTGTATTTCCCGGAATCCTTAGCAGCCAGAGTTTCAGGTGTGATTTTGGTTTAACTATTCAGATGCACTAACATGAGATTTGAAAGGAGGAAAGATGGTGTTAACTATAATTCACCAACTTGTGCTGGTTAGAATAGTTGTAAAGATACTTGGTTTTTCTAAAGCAGCTTTAACAGAGGTCCCAGTGTTGACTCTAATTTAATGGAGAGTGAAAGGAAGCACAAGTGGCATCACCTCTCCTGGTACAGATCTAGAAGCAAGGTATGCTTCTAGAATCTATAGTCATGGCACAGCAGCTTCCTGTTCATCAAAGATCACAGCTAAAGTGATGTAATCCTGGAGACAGCTTCAGGTTCTTCATTGTGGTAGAGGCAGTATTTCTCTCGGCTGGCCAATTTCAGCTTTATACTGTGCTGGGACTCGGCTGTTCTGGGATTCATTCTTAGACTGTTTCTCCAATGATTTTGTAAGCACTTAATTCACTATGCTAAACCCCCTTCTGCTTAAAGTAGCTAGAGTGGTTTGTATTTTCTAAAAAGGAACCCTTATTCCAACAATGCATAATTCTTATGTGTAGAAGGGCAAACTGAGATCAAAACAATTGAGAAAATATATCAGTATGAATATATCTCATAAGAAAAATATGTTTAAATTTTATATACAATGTAGAAGTTTTAGAAGGTTAGTTTTTTTTTTTCTTTGAGACGGAGTCTCGCTCTATTGCCCAGGCTGGAGTGCAGTGGCTGGATCTCAGCTCACTGCAAGCTCCGCCTCCCGGGTTCACGCCATTCTCCTGCCTCAGCCTCCCGAGTAGCTGGGACTACAGGCACCCGCCACCTCGCCCAGTTAGTTTTTTATATTTTTAGTAGAGACGGGGTTTCACCATGTTAGCCAGGATGGTCTCGATCTCCTGACCTTGTGATCCGCCCGTCTCGGCCTCCCAAAGTGCTGGGACTACAGGCTTGAGCCACCACGCCCGGCCAGAAGGTTAGTTTTTTAAATGGAGGATCAGAAAAGGTAGCCTCTCTTTGAAGGTTTTATTTATTTTTAATTGTTTAAAAGCCTTAATCAAACGCAGGGTCCTAGCCAGGCATGGTGGTTCATGCTTATAATCCCAGCACTTTCAGAGGCAAAGGTGGGTAGATCGCTGGCGGCCAGGAGCTCAATACCAGCCTGGCCAACATGGTGAAACCCCATCTCTATTAAAAATGCAAGAATTAGGCAGTGCACGGCATGCACCTGTAATCCCAGGTTCTTGGGAGGCTGAGGCACGAGAATTGCTTGAGCCTGGGAGGCAGAAGGCACAGGAGGCATGAGAATTGTTTGAGCCAGATTGCACTACTGTACTCCAGCCTGGGCAACAGAGCAAGATTCTGTTTAAAAATAATAATAATAATAATAATACAGGGTCTTATTGTCTGTCAACTATGGGCAACAGGAAGAAAAACAAACTACTCAACAGAGTTTACTCTTAGGAAAAAACAAAGTATTAAATTTTTAAAAATATAAAATGTAGATATTATAAATTGTCTTCAATCTTGCCCAATTAAACTCCAAACAGTAAATACCTTTTTATAGTCTAAATTACTCTAATATCAAGGTAAAGGCACCAAGGTACTCTGATGTCAAGGTAATGGCACCATAAACCACTAATGTAAAAAATAATTTAAGTTACCACATGTATAATACTGGAAGGGGCTTTCATAGTTTAGTATGATCTGCATGATCTATATGATCTACAATATGACAACAAGCTAATATTCAATGAAAGTAACAGGCAACATATTTAGAACAAATAAGACATTTATATAATCCATGTTAGGTAAAAGTAATTACAATAGGAGATCAAGTCAAATTACTTTTGATGTTTCTTTAAAAAGAAGATACAGTTATTTTAAGGCCATCAATAATATTTGTAGTTTTATGAACTGAGAGGATACTCAAATCTCCCATCAAGTTAACCTTAAGGTAGATTATAACCTTATCATCTACCACTTTTAGAAGACCTCCTTCAAATACCCATGTTATATAATTAAATAATATTCAAATGAAATTATCTGGGGTGAAGGAATTAGTCAAGGCATTTTCTCATTCTCCTAAGTAAGTCAATAAGCCATTTAGTCAAATATTAATGCTATGCCAAGTAAGTTCATGTCAAAAGATTAAGTATCAGAAGAAAAAAAAAAAAAAGACATCAAGTCCTAAGGTCCCTAAACCCATTAGGTAAACAACGTATGAAACTGAA